GCAAAGCTGGCGGCATCACAATTCCGGACTTCCAGCTCTATTACAAAGCTGTCATCATCAAGACAGTATGGTACTGGCACAAAAACAGACACATAGGTCAATGGAACAGAATCGAGAGCCCAGAAATGGACCCTCAACTCTATGGTCAACTTATCTTTGACAAAGCAGGAAAGAATGTCCAATGGAAAAAAGACAGTCTCTTCAACAAATGGTGTTGGGAAAAGTGGACAGCCACATGCAGAAGAATGAAACTGGACCATTTCCTTACACCACACACAAAAATAGACTCCAAATGGTTGAAAGACCTAAACGTGAGATAGGAGTCCATCCAAATCCTAAAGGAGAACACAGGTAGCAACCTCTTCGACCTCAGCCGCAGCAACTTCTTCCTAGAAACATCACCAAAGGCACAGGAAGCCAGGGCAAAAATGAACTATTGGGATTTCATCAAGCTAAAAAGCTTTTGCACAGCAAAAGAAACAGTCCACAAAACCAAAAGACAACCGACAGAATGGGAGAAAATATTTGCAAATGACATATCAGATAAAGGGCTAGTATCCAAAATCTATAAAGAACTTATCAAACTCAACACCCAAAGAACAAATAATCCAATCAAGAAATGGGCAGAAGACATGAACAGACATTTTTCCAAAGAAAACATCCAAATGGCCAACAGGCACATGAAAAAGTGCTCAACATCGCTCGGCATCAGGGAAATCCAAATCAAAACCTCAATGAGATACCACCTCACACCAGTCAGAATGGCTAAAATTAACAAGTCAGGGAACGACAGATGTTGGCGGGGATGTGGAGAAAGGGGAACCCTCCTACACTGTTGGTGGGAATGCAAGCTGGTGCAACCCCTCTGGAAAACAGTATGGAGGTTCCTCAAACAGTTGAAATTAGAGCTACCATTCAATCCAGCAATTGCACTACTGGGTATTTACCCCAAAGATACAAATGTAGGGACCTGAAGGGGTACGTGCACCCCAATGTTTATAACAGCAATGTCCACAATAGCCAAACTGTGGAAAGAGCCAAGATGTCCGTCGACGAATGAATGGATAAAGAAGATGTGGTATATATACACAATGGCATATTATGCAGCCATCAAAAGGAATGAGATCTTGCCATTTGCAACGACGTGGATGGAACCGGAGGCTGTTATGCTGAGTGAAATAAGTCAATCAGAGAAAGACATGTATCATATGACCTCACTGATATGAGGAATTCTTAATCTCAGGAACAAACTGAGGGTTGCTGGAGTGGTCGGGGGTGGGAGGGATGGGGTGGCTGGGTGATAGACATTGGGGAGGGTATGTGCTATGGTGAGCGCTGTGAATTGTGCAAGACTGTTGAATCACAGATCTGTACTTCTGAAACAAATAACGCAACATATTTTAAGAAAAAAGAAAAAGAAGAAGATAGCAGGAGAGGAAGAATGAAGGGGAGTAAGTCAGAGGGGGAGACGAACCAGGAGAAATGATGGACTCTGAAAAACAAACTGAGGTTTCTGGAGGGGAGGAGGGTGGGGGGATGGGTTAGCCTGGTGATGGGTATTGAGGAGGGCACATTCTGCATGGAGCACTGGGTGTTATGAACAAACAATGAATCATGGAACACTACACCAAAACAAATTATGTAATATATGGTGATTAACATAACAATAAAAAAATTTAAAAAAAAAAGAAGAAGGGCATCAACAGGCACTATTGTTGAACCCCAGAGAGCAGGACTTTTCGAGTTGAGATATATATTTATTTATTAAATAAATAAATGTACATTTATATCAACTTAAAAAGTCTTGCCTGTTATATATAATATAGACTATATATTATAATATATAATAAGGATAGTATTAACACACTATTGTGAGCTTTTCAAGTATATATATATATCGAGATATATATATGTATATGGTGATATATATTATACACACACACAGTGATTTCATAAGACTGGTGTTAACAGACACTACTGTTGAATCCCTGAGAGTAGAATTTTTTAAGCTGTAAGAACATGAGCCATATTAAACAAAGCACTACCCAGAACTTAGAGGGCTAAACTGAGAGTCTTAAACTTTTTTTTGCCCTTGGCCATATTGACGGGTGATATCATTTCTTAGATTATCAGCCCCTGGGCACTTTTGTTTGCCAAAGCAGAAGCAACTTTGGCCTTAACAGATGCAAGAATAGTCCCACTTGGGGCAAGTTATCAATGAGGCAAGTACTTTCATTATTAGCTCCTGCCAGAAATTATAGTCAGGATACCTCCTTAGATACAAGATAAATTGACAGTGGGAATTTTGCCAATCGTGAGATTTGACTTTCAGCTAGTCTGGAGTTGCCCCAGAGAGGCTCAATCTGATTGGTTATGCAGGTTACATTGCCTAGCCAATAAGAATCCAGGAGTCTCCTTTATCCACGGGAGATACCTTCCAGTACACCCAGTGGATGCCTGAAACCAGCTAGCACCAAACCCTGTGTATCTAGTGTATTTTTCCCATACATGTACACTGATGATAAAGCTTAACTTAAAAATTAGGTGCACTAAGAGACTAATCATAGGACAATTATAACAATATACTGTAATAAAAGTTATGTGAATGTGGTCTCTCGCTCTCGCTCTCAAAATATCTTATTGTTTGACACGCACCCTTGTTCTTGTGATGATGTGACCTGATAAAATGTCTGCTTAATGAAAGGAAGTGGCCTTCGTGATGTAGGCGTTGCACCTTCGTGTTGGGCTACACTTGACCTCCTGATAGTATGTCAGGGGGAAGAGCAACTGCCTCTGGACCTTGGTTGACCGCAGGTAACCGAAACCTCAGAAAGTGAAACCACAACCACAGATAAGAGGGGACTACCGGATTCAAAAGACCAGCTGAAGCAATTTTGTCCAACCTGGCGATGCAGCGCCTTCTAGCAAGGAAGGTCGAAACAAAGTGCGAATGTACTATTGTAACTTCCCTCTCCTTCTCCAGTGGGCCCAACGACCCTCTTGCTTACTTCCCTTTTCTTAAAGACCTGAAGTAATAAGAGCATCAAGATTCCCGTCCTTTGGGAACCACTGCATGAGATCATTCCTCACTCATCTCTATGTCCTCCCCACCCAGGGCCCATGAACAGCCGCAATTCTCAGCGGCTCAGCTACTTCAGCCTTGGCAGAGGGTCTTGCTTCTCACTCCACCGTTCCCTTTGCCCCTCCCTTCTCTTCTGGAACTCCAGAGCTGAATTTTTGAAAGTTAGTTTCTGCCAAGACTTTCTTCCTTCCTTTCTTTCTTCCTTCCTTTCTTTCTTTCTTTCTTTCTTTCTTTCTTTTCTTTCTTTCTTTCTTTCTTTCTTTCTTTTTCTTTTTTTAAACATCTTGTATCTGTGACACTGCCAAGCTGGGATTGACTTACCAAATAAAAGGACATTAGAAATCCACAGAGTCAGATCAATCTTTAATGAAAAACCAACAAACATAAAAAGCTGCCACTAGGCAGCTACGGGTTGAAGGCAACTCCAGCTAATTGGCATCCAAAGCACTTTCACTTGCTGCCAAGTCCAAGAGAACTGGCTCTCAACACTGCTGTACCAAATTAGGCCAGTTCTCCATAGGGCTTGTGTTACTATGTTGCTAATTAGGGTGATGCAGAGAATGCCTGTCCAAATGGAGTTTCTTCTGGGCAGAGAGGCTCCCCGAAACTGGAAAGTTTGTAAATGTTCCCTGAAACTCTAACTGCCATTTTGTAACTTGCATTGATCAGTGGTGAGGAAATTACAAACTGGTCTCTGTTCTCACTAAATGGTGCAATAGCAACTCTCCAATGCTTTGGGGGTTAAAAGGATGGAGTCATCTTCGGACGAAGAAATGTAATTTATAGTGGTGGAGCAATATAAAATGATTTATGAAATCTGGGTCTTTTAAAAGATAGAAATACAATGATTCTCTCTGTGAACTTCTGATTCTCAGAGTTTTTCTAATCAACTGATTTTTGAAGCAATTTTTCTCGCCCCTAGCTACCCGTTAGGTGGGGAGGTGGGGTACCGGCACCAAACTCAGATCAAGCACTCAGAACCTCTGGAGATGGAGCTGACATCAGTCATGTTCCTCCAAATCTCTCTAGTTGATTGTAATATGAAGCTGGTTTTGAGAACTACTGTCCCACAGGAATCAAGTTTGTTATTTAAAACAACTTTATAAACATAGAATGAGAAAAAGAATTGTTGTATAGGTCTTTGAAAAAATCTGATTATTACAATCCTTGCTTAACCTCAAGGCTTTGGATATACTCTCTCATGGAGTACTTTTTACCTGCAAAATGAATATTTTTCTCAGGGATGTTGAGAAAATGAGTAGGAGCACTATATTAGTTTGCTCAGGCTACCATAACAAAGTACCGCAGACTGGGTGGCTTAAAGCACAGAAGTTTATTTTCTTCTAAGTTCTGGAGGCTAGAAGTCCAAGATCAGGGTCAACAGGATTATTTCTTCTGAGGCCTCTCTCCTTAGCTTCTTGATGACCATCTTCTGTGTATATCTTCACATGGTCACCCTGCTGTATAGCTCTGTGTCCTATACCCTCTTGTTTTAAGGACTCCAGGCACGGGGAGTAAGGTCCACCCAACATAACCTAATCTTATTTTAATTACTCACTTTAAAAACCCTATTTCCAAATAACAGTGAGCTCCTGAGGTCACTGGAGGCTAGGACTCCAACATATGAACTGGGGAAAGAGGGGACATAATTTAGCCCATAATAGGAACTTTTAAATAATAGTGGATCTGGGGGGGCGGCACATGGGGTGAACATTCTTTTTAAAACAAGTTTATTTTTTAAAAAAAGTTTTGAGAATAAACTCAAAAGTTGCCTGGGCATGTGTAATATAAAGATCTTGAACCATAGCCCATCATGATGGGAAGATCATGCCAAAGGAAGGAAGTCTCAGGCCCCACTGAAATCCCGGTGCTTGGGTATTCCAGGAGATGCCTTGTAAAGATGTGAAAGATCACTTACTCATTTGAATTCTTCAATTGCCTCCATTGTTCAGAGTGCCCCAGACAGCCTATGGTGCTCTACATGCATGATGTAATAGACTTTCCCTTCCCAAGAGGTCTCTCCTTTCTTGGCTCTTCAAGCTGCTCATAAAATTTATATTAGTATAAAAGGTATACAATGCATACATCCTTGGTACTCTTGAATTACAGATAACTGCTTAGTTGAAATCCTAAAAAATAATTTTTTTAAATCCACTCCCTCAATTTCTGGGAAATACCACCTCAATGGGTTTGACCTTAAGCTCTGAGTTTAACTTTTATAAAACTCATCATTTCTAGAGAAGGGAAGATGAAGAAGAATAGGGAAGTGAAACAGAGAGGTGTGTGTGGTGTAAGTGTGTGTATGTGTGGCGTCAGCATGTGGGGTGGGGGAGGCAGGAGGTGCACAGATAAGGAAACACAGAACCAGGGAAAGTCAGACGTAGGCCACGGCACTGTTGCGGAGGATGCCCTCTACCGGGGTTGGGGACTTAGAAGACCTGTACTAGGCAGGTGATATTCTGATTCTGAGCTACTATTTGAATCAATCTCCCAGTCCCTTTACTTCACCTGCCACAAGAGCAGAGGTGATCACCACTGGCGGCAGATTCTGTGCTCCAAATCAATCACTGTACCATTCCTTCAAAAAATTGTTTCTGAGAATCTAATGTGTGCCTAGCACTGTCCAGAGAGCTGTGGCAACACACAAAGGTGCAAGATATGCCCACCAATCTCTTTTTTAAAGATTTTATTAATGTATTTGAAAGAAAGAGAGAGAACATGGGGAGGGGGAGGGGCAGAGGGAGAAGCAGCCTCCCCGCTCAGCAGGGAGCCCGATGCAGGGCTCAATGCCAGGACCCCATGGTCATGACCTGAGCCGAAGGCAGACGCTTGACTGACTGAGCCACCCAGGCGCCCCAGTATACATCCAAATCTCAATGAGCTTCCAGTTTAGCTGAGCAGACAAGATAAACACAAGTTCAAAGACAAACCCCATGACACTTATAGATCCATGCAAAGGCTATCCGAAGGTGATGGTATATAATTGCCCATGTAAGGCCCTAAAAGAAAATTTCAGTTCTTTCAGAATTGGAGGCTGCAGTAAGAGATGTGAATTCAGAGCCGCCCTCATAGGCTGCTCTCAGGGCCAGGAAAATCGGGAGAGAAACTTTGAGAATGGAAGGGCCAGGACAAAATGGACTAGCCGTTGTTGTTGGTTTCCTCACTGGTTCATTTTAGAATGCATTCATGAGATTTGGGTTTCAGTAGAAAAGCACTGAACACATTTATAATAAAATGCAAGCCAAATTTCAGTCAATTTCTCAGGTTCTGTCAGGTCTTTCAACCCCGTCCCCACTCCAAACAAACAGGCAAGCACACACATGACTTAATGGCCAGCTCACACTATGATCACTGTCAATGGGAAACTAGATCCTGGCTAGGGACACAGTTATTTAAAAGAATCCAATTTGGTCCTCGATATAAACTGGTCATTACAGAACATGTGAGACCTGACCCTTCTTCAGGAACCTGCCCAGCCTGGCTAAAATTGGCCTCCTGAATTAGACGTTGCTAGGGAGAGAAAACACACCATGAGCTGAGAGATTTTCAAAAGTCTTTTCTTTCTCTAAAAGGAAACTAGGCCAAAATCAGCAACCAGAGTAGACTCAAGTTTATAAAAGCTATCTAGATTCTACCTCAGGAATGTGAAGGAAATTCAGGTCTTTCTTAAGCAGTATCTTTTTGTCCAATTTGCTTTAAAAAAAATTTTTTTTTAAAGCTGCTGTTGAGTTTGGATTACCATTCCTTTGCTGCTATTTTTTTTTTTAATTCTGTTACTTGAAAATAAAAGCCAAGTATGTGGAATACCATAGGAGATGATTGTTTTAAACAAGGAAGACTTTTCCTCGCTTCTCTGTCCCAGGCTTCTACATTGGGGCACTGTACTGACCTGTTCTTCGGACCTTGGAATGCGTGAGCAACGGGGGCATGAGGTGCCTGTCCTTTATCACTCAGAGAGCAGGGCATTTCTCCATTCAGTGGCTGGGCCAGCAAACCGTTGTGCAACCTATTTTACCCACACTATTTACCCCACACTATTGCCATGCTGTCTTTTCCTTTGATTCATAGGGAAAACACATCCTTCTAAATGGTAAGTCCACTCTTGTAAGAAAGCTGAAACACTTGCATGGTTTTTGGCTAGTGACTAACTAGGTTTCCTTGTTCCTTGCTCTTCTGGGTAGGCAACAGAGGCGAATTATAGATGAACTCGGAAGATGAGTAAGAATTCCACGCCGCCCCCTGCCCATTTCTATACTTTTTCCTCCTCCCCTTTCTGCTCTACCTCTTAGAAACACATCCAGTTAGGAGCAGTGTCTAAGACCTGTTCTCTCCCTTCTAGAACATCCACCTTCACCTAACTCTTACACCTCTCTGGCAATAAAGCCATCATGAAAAAGCCTGTGTCATGCCACTTTCTTGATGGCAAATTCCTTCTGGCTTTCCAATCAGGAAGACCTAATGGGAGTGAACACAGATAACTCCATGAACCAGCTAGACAACTCCACTGTGTGGATTTGGTGGCATTTTTGTATCTGCCCAGAGATCTTGGCACAGGCCTGGTGTAATGGGATTACTGTTAGCCTACTCCAGCTCACTGTTACCCTATGAGAATACTGACCCAATGTTATTTTAGAAGTTTTCAAGGGAAGCTCAAACTCAGGAGTTTTATGTAAGATGTTCTAATTTTCCAAGGTTGGCTTAAGTTTTTAAAGCATTGTGAAAGCCAAACAAAATATGTCTGAGGGTCAGGGCACCTGGGTGGCTCAGTCTGTTAAGCTTCTCCCTTTGGCTCAAGTCATGATCCCAAGGTCCTACTCAGCCGGGAGCCTGTTTCTCCCTCTGCTTCCGGCTCATGCTCTCTGTCTCACTCTCTCTCAATAATAAATAAATAAATAAATAAATAAATAAATAAATAAATAAACAAATAAATAAAATCTTAAAAAAAATATGTCTAAGGGTCATGTTTAACCTCAGGCTACCAATGTGAAACTTCTGCCACATTCATGGCCCCCATCTTGAGGGGGATTAATACCTCCTGTTTGCATATGAATTGATAGTTAATGGAAACATGTGGAACATTTACTCTAAGGTCTACCTGGTTGCCTTTCAAACTTTAAAAATGCAACAGAGAGGTATGAGTGCTGGTGGTTAGCAAGATTAACTATAGCTCAATTCTATACTCTGTGTTTGTGTGACAGACAGCACGCTAACCACATACTGGACACAAAATGGTGAATGCCCACTTTGCCTGGGTGGGGAGAAGGGGATACAACAGGGCACGAATCTCCACTTCTCTCTTCTCCCTCAGCTGACAAAGCATAGGTGGGCTTAGTTAAGGAGGTATCAGGCTAGGCTGAAGCAGCCTAGACTTTTCCGATTGGGTGGATCTGGGGGGAAACTACGGAGTGAGCCATATGCATAAACTCTCATTCAACCCAGACATCAGCTGGGGTAATATATGGCACGGAAATTATAGCAAATTGCTCTTCAATTTGGGTTCATCTCCCTGCCTTTCTTTTTTTTTTTTTTAAGATTTT